GATTTTGCGTTACTCCAAGGAGTTTCTCTCAACCTCGGAGCAATCGAGACACTAGACGATCTAGGATCAGATCACCGACCGGTCTCCCTCATTCTTGGCCATCAGCCACCTCCCCCAACACACACGAAAACCTTCACTAACTGGAAGGGATTCAAGGAGTCCCTAGCTAAAGCTTTGGACTCACAGGACCCTACCATCTCCCTACCGTCGGACTTAGATAGTCCCGAAAAAATCGACACCGCGGTACTCACTCTCCACCCTTATTAAATCCTCCCTTAAGGAGAACGAAAGGGTCGTCCCGGTTGCTAACAATAGTGGGCTTCCCCTACATATTAGCAACCTAATAAAAGCCAAAAAAGCTGCTTTCCGGAGAGCAGCAAAATATCCCACCCCCGAATATAGGCGCGCGGCCAATCGTCTTCAACGAGAACTCCGCTTCCGCCTCTCTGTATTTCGAGACCTCGAAAAGAGTAAGCTCATGGAGAATATCTCTCCATCTCACACAGCGTACTATCAGATGGCTAGAGCCCTCCGCATAGACGCTATCACCCACACTCCCCCTCTCTCCCGTCCCGACGGCACGGTTGCTTTCGAGGACGAGGAAAAGGCTGAGTGCTTTGCAGATAGCATTGCCGCTCAATGCTCTCCCAGTTCTCAACCCGTCGACCCCTCACACGTCCAGGCAGTGGAGGATGAGGTCCACCGCCGGAGCTCACCCCCCACGGCCTCCGAACCTATCTCTGTGTCCAATGATGAGATCTCATCCCTCATCAAAGGACTTAAGCCTAAAAGGCTCCGGGCGCGGATGGCATCTCCAACCAAGCCCTAAAACACTTTCCCGAGCAGGTGTTAACCTTTTTATCTATTATCTTCAATGCCTGCTTCAACCTTAGTTACTTTCCCACTACGTGGAAAGAGGCTACTGTGATTGGAATTCCCAAGCCAGGCAAGCCTCTCAACCTCCCCCTCCAGCCATCGCCCCATTAGCCTCCTCAAGGCAATGGGCAAGCTCTTCGAAAGAGTCATCCAAAGTCGAATGAGGCGCTACCTGTTTCCCACAGACGGCGACCCTCTTATCATTCCCCATCAATTCGGCTTCCGAGCCAAACACTCATGTCCCCAACAAGTTCACCGCATTGTGGAATATATCCTCAGCGGTTTCTATCCTCGTCGTCATAAGACCATCGCGGTCTTTTTCGATATAGCCAAAGCATTCGATAGAGTCTGGCACACAGGCCTTATCTACAAGCTCTATAAAATAGGTCTCCCCGATCGTCTAGTTCGTCTCGTGGCCTCCTATTTAAAACATCGTACCTTTCGTTTCAGACACGAAGGCACGCTCTCTTCACAGCGAACTATCAAGGCTGGTGTCCCCCAGGGCTCAGTACTTGCTCCTCTGCTGTACATCCTGTTCACCAACGACATTCCCATCCCGTCGAAAGGTGTTCAACTCTCCCTCTTTGCAGACGACACTGCCATCTACTGCAAAGGTGTCTCACTACCCTTCATACGGAACAAGATCCAAAAGTCAGTTGATGACCTAGGAGCTTGGTTCAAAAAATGGCGCATCGATGTGAACCCGGAGAAGAGCTCCGCCGTTCACTTCGATTATAAACGACGCCGTCTCAAAAACACTCCTCCAATACGTATGCTAGGGACCCCTGTCCCCTGGCATACGTCCGCCAAATATTTAGGTGTCACTCTAGACACAGGGCTTACTTTCAAGCCCCACGTCAAAAGAGTAACCCGTCACGCACGATTTTATCTGAGTAGGCTCAACAGTATGTTGGGCCGACACAGTAAAATGTCCCTTCGAAACAAGCGTACACTCTACAAGGTATGTATACGACCAGTCATGTCCATTACATAGTAACATTTTAAATGAACTCCAAATAGTTCAGAACCTATTCTGTCGTCGAGCTGCGAACGCACCGTGGTACGTTCGTAATGCCGACCTTCATCGGGACTTAGAGCTCCCAACAATTCAACAATTTCTTAAAAAACTCTCTGAGAACTTCTTCAAAGCCTCAGAGTCGCACCCAAACCATTTAATTCGTGAGGCAGCTACTTATGCAGCCCCACCCCCCTCTCGCTATCGTGTCCGCAGGCCGAGAAACTCTCTCTCGGACCCGCCTAATAAACTTTCAAACGACCTGAACTGTCTCCTGGCGGCTCAGGCCAACTCTAATTAAATAAAATTATTGTAATATCTGACATTAATTTGCCTTCGTAGGCACTCCCTCAGCGGCACTTAGCCGCCTGCGCCCTCTTTTCCCAAAAGAGGGTCGCTCATGATAAGGCACAATAGAGCTTAATCAGCCGGTTGCCTGTCCCTAAAGGCGGTTTTTAGGGGGTATCACTTAGGGTCCCCGGTAGGACAGTGAGTCCCCCATAACCACGATAGACCGGCTATCGTGGTATGCGTAATGCATTTTCCGCCTCCCTACGTATAGGGTAGCCCTTTAATTGCTTCGGGCGCAAAAAAAAGAAAAACGCCGATTCTGCATTCGATCGGCGGCAATTCGAGCGGCGGCAACTCAAGCAACAGCAAGCAACCCGAACAGAAGAACCAACAAGAATCCCTATTAATGTTAACTACTGCAATTGTAAATAGTGTAAATATAGTGTGTCATTTCGTCAAGTAATTTAATTTCTACTCAACCCTTTTTATAGTCAGACAGATGTCACAGTTTTAATTCAGTTGCAAAGTAAATAGTAACTCCTAGCGTATTAATAGAAATATAACACAATAAATTAAATACAGTCCACTCGCTTTCATCCCCTAACAAGTATATTATGTTATAATCATAATACATACACTGTATTTTTAGTTAAACATTTTTATGCACTGATTATCAAATTAGTTATACTAATTCCGGAAGAATGTTGTTGTGGTCACAGTACAAATCCACGAACGCGAAGACTTTAACATGCTTGAAATAAAGTACAATTTTTCTTTACTTTTATTGAATGACAGAATTAGTAATAATTAGGGACGGGCCGAATTTTACCAAATCGAATATTCGGCCGAACATTATTCGGCAGGATAACATCGGGACCCAGCCAATTTATGTCGAAACTGGTTACCGAAAAGCGCGCGGGATTAGCGACTGACCCTACCTCTCGCTCCCCGCCACACCTGACAGTTATTGCATCATCTAGTACTGAGCAAATTGCCGGCACATGCTTATGTTTTGACTATTTTTGTGAGAAAAAAAGTATTTCGTTATTTTATTGTTAGTGAAAATTGATAATTATATGATAAAAATGAGCGGCAGGAGATTTACTATTTAGACTTATTTTAGAGAAACTGATGACCAAAGTAAAGTAAAATGTACTAATGTACTGTAATGTTTCTTTGTTTGATTCCAAAAACATTTTATAAAGTTTCTATTTGCTATAATTGGAAATAAATCTACAGTGCCTCAAAAACATAAATATAAGTATAGATTTATGCATTTGAGGCACTATAGAGTAAATAGATTTAACCCATAAATAAAATATACTTTCAACAATAAAAGACATCGCAGTACTCAATTCGTACATTTCAATACAGTGGACACTATAAATACAAATGTTCGGTGGTTTAGCCGAATATTCGGTAAAGCTGCCGAATACCGAATATAAAACGAATATTCGGCCCATCTCTAGTAATAATACAAATAAAACTGCACTCTTAAAAGTCTTATTGCCTTAAGTTACGGTCCATTTCAGTATGTTTTGACTGTACATATTTAGTGTGACTGTAATTTACGAAGTTTTAATTATTTTTGGGATAAAAAATTACCTATATTAAAAATGATAGGAATCGATTCAGTAAACGATTCTGAACAAACTACTTTCTCAAAGTGCGTTAATTATGTTACGTGTTGTAGTAATTAGAAAAATTCCAATGTTATATTTTAAGTTTCTATCTATCTATCGGTAAACTATATGTACTACAATTAGCTGTAATAATTTTAGCAAACATTTATATACCTTAATATACACCTATCCTTATGCTACATAGTTGCGTGTTGCATAGCATGCATTTTGCAATAGATCAAAGTACGCAATTACTAAGGTAACTTTTTAGTTATTTTAGCATTTTTAATTGTCATGTCATTCATTGGAATGTAACATATATAGACGGTTTTTCTTATGTATATTCGTTCAAATTGCTTCATTGTAGCTAGACGTATATATCTAGAATTGTTCGAAAATGGGATGGAGCCAGAGCAAAGAGGAAAATACGAGCAACAGCCTAGTAGCTCAGACTGTCAACAATCATTCAGATTATAAGCTGGAACGTATCAGCTGGACGTTGACCGCACTGGTGATAGTGTTCGTCTTCGTAGTGGGGTACCTACTATGGTGCCGCAGCAAATATGTAGTGAGAGGCTGGGTAATGAGGCAGAGCGTAAGCAAACCGACCATGGTGAGGGTGCAGGCGGTTCCTAACCAAGCCGCACCTACGCCTGCCGGTTTTGCGTAGTGTGTATGAATAGTATATAGTGTATAATGTATAGTGTGCGAATGTTAACCTAGTGTAAGTTAAGTGTTTATCTTTGTATAAGGAGGGGAATGGTGTAGGGACAAAATATAAGTATATATAATATACTGGCTCTTTAGATCGCGCGTCCGGTGTCCTACATCTTATCCATACTTGTTTAAGTATAACAGCTATATGTATGTGTAATATGTATAATAGTTATAGGTGTGGCGGCTGCGTCCGCCACGTTTAAAAATTAGTCGCAAATATATCACAGTTTACACGACACGTGTCTTCATTTATTGCAACTTTAATTATAAACCTTAATGGACTTAACAATAAATAAATTAAATAATTAAATACAGTATTCATAAGACTGTATAATAAACAGTAGGTATATTAAATAGAACATCTCCAAACTATCACACGGAGTGTTGGCCGCTCCCCGGGCAGAACACCTTGCCCGGCGGGAGATCTCCCCTTTACCTTCTACGGTCACAAGCACAAAGCATAATCCACACAGCCTTACCATCTGCCAGTTTAACAGCATCAATAGCTTCGACAGTTTCGTCGCTGATCTGCGGGTATGACGCAACGCACATATCAAAGTACTGTTGCAATTGCACAGCTTGCTTGGACAATAACTCGCTATATGTGTCCAATTCGGCGATTTTTCTGTGAGGCGGCGCGAAGTGCGACCTACAATTTAAATAATGGTTATTTTATAAATCTGACTATTGTGAGTATATAATATCTATGATAGAAATATTTTGAGGTATACTTTATTAGTTACACACACATATTTCTGTATAGTGTATGGAAGAAATCAATTAGAAAACAAATAAGGACTTCCGATCTTAAAGTTCTATTAAAATAACATAGTGATTGTGTCCCTCATGTGACAGCAGTATCACATAAGTAAAGAAACCGACCAGAGGGGAAGGAGGAAGGAGGGGAACTATACCCATACATAGCGCAGCGTGAGCTCTCACCGACAGATTCTCCGACGCTCCGTCGGGGTACAAACCGGTTTGCGCCGGCTCAGTCAGAGTATCCATGAAAGGGCTGTCAGTCGTGCGCATTTAAATAAATGGAAGAACAATATTTCATGTTTTATTATATTTTTTTACTATTAGAGTTAAGTTTCATCATCGTCATCATCATTACAGCCCTTCACAAGTCCACTGCTGAACATAGGCCTCCCCCAAGGTATGCCACAAGGCACGGTTCTGAGCCACCTGCATCCATGACTTCCTGCACGTCTTACCGGGGCGTCACTCCATTTAGTGTGGGGTCGCCCTACACCTCGCCTACCGGTACGAGGCTGCCACTCGAGAACCTTTTTCCCCAACGTTCTTCTCAGCTATAGTCTTGCACTTCAGCTTACTAATCATTGGCTATGTCGTATTGTGTAAGTTTAGAGACAAAAAACACATATAATTCTTTAAGTAATTAAAGTTTATATAAATTAATGCCTGGGTCGCCCTACACCTCGCCTACCGGTACGAGGCTGCCACTCGAGAACCTTTTTTCCCCAACGGTTGTCGGTTCTTCGAGCTATATGGCCGGTCCATTGCCACTTCAGCTTACTAATCCATTGGGCTATGTCGGTTAATTGTGTTAAGTTTAGAGACTGTTTATTATAAAATAAGACATTATAGATTTCTTTAAGTAATTAATTAGTGTTCTATATAAATTAATGCCTAACACTTGTACAGTATGTATAAAAATTCGAGAGAAAATAATACAATTACCAGACAGTGCTCAAGGTGGTGTTAGTGGTAGTGGTGCTAGTGTTGGTGGTAGTGGTAGTGGTGCTGGTGTTGGTGCTTGTAGTATCATTGGTGGTGGTGGGTAGTGGATCACCACCAACACCGCCACCACCACGACCAGCATCACCACCACGGTCATTACCACCAGCACTACCACCATCAACACCACAACCAAAGCCACTGCCCAATACTACTATCACAGCCATAACTACCACCACTTGATTTTTTGTACTCATGAATAATACATTGTGTTACGAAAATATGTTGTCTTATGATATTGATGGAAAAATATACTCGTAATATGAAAATTCTGTGAGAATACCTATTTCCTTAAAATTCTCTCGAAGGGATTCGCGCGGATTTTAATTACAAATTGCGCGTATTTCTCAATATTCGCCGCTTTACCCTACAGCAAGATTCCATAAGACATAATACTATGAAAATTAACGAAATATACAATTTTTGTAGTTTCAATATAAGTTACAATAAATAGACATATTGTTGTTATATTAATTTAAGTTACAATGAAACCACATGTTTTATACTCTATAATATTGTTATTTTTTCCTTAAAATTTTCACATTCATAGGTGACAACCCTATCAAAATAGGTATACATTTTCGACGTTGTTAGGAAGCTTCCCCTCTGGTCCTTACTCTTTGGCAGGATGTTAAAATTCTCTCTTATACACTATTTTTATTTATTATAAATAATACTATAAGTAAAAATAAAATATACATACAACATTATCATGAGTAACTTGAAATGAAATGAATGATTTTTATTCAATATAGAATACTGCATAATACTTATTGAAAGTTATTATTTTTATTTACCACTGGTTCGGAAAAAGACCTTTGTTCTGGGAAGAACCAGCAAGAAACCCAGCGGGACTTTTTTTAAACATATTTCAATTTACATTTATTTATTTTGTACAATTTTTGAATTAATTTTTATAGAACCAGCATGGGGGCGATCACCTCATTCCCAGGGGTTATTTTCATTTATGTATTCTTTGATATTACAATAAAATAACCTTGTTCTGTAACTTGTTTAATGACACATTTTTTACATTTTCTGGGATTTTGTTGTAAAAGCGTATGCATTGCCCCATAAATGAATTACTAATTCTGTGGAGTCTAGTAACTGGTGTTACAAGCTTACATTTGTTCCTTGTGTGTAAAGTATGAACATCTTTACTTTTAAGAAAGCTTTTTATGTTTTTATGTACATACATTACATTTTCATAAATATACTGCGATGCCAAAGTTAATATGTTTATTTTAATTTAATTTTTCTATAAGGGACTCTTTACAATTTAAGTTTAAAATCGCCCATACATCTCTATTTTGCAAAACAAACATGACTTCAATGTCAGTCGCATTACCCCATATTAAGATTCTAATGTAGCTATCTCAACATTGGTGAGACTTTAGATCTTTCTTACAGCATATGCTGCAGAACTAAGTCTGCAATGGCAATTAAAACCAAAAAACTTTTGACTGTGCATTCCAAGTCATAATAATGCAATAAAGTGTTACCTTATCAGTTCTATGAATTTCATTATTCGTTATAAATTTTGTGCAATGTTGCAGATTTAATTCCCTCGAAGTAACACTACACTAAAAATGTAAAGTCTAATTCAAGATAATACCATGTGAGCCTGTTGATTGTAGAGATGTAACCGATCCATGTCTTCGCAGACCACATCCATTAGAACTGCTATCTGAGCTAGTTCCATACCCTGACTCCACCTATAAATTTTAAAATAAATTAAAATCAACTCGTTCATTAGCTAAGCCGGCAAACCCGATTTTCGTTCAGTAAGAACTTGACGCTTTTTTGCATTTATATTTTTGGTGGGATATCTTTTTATTAATCTTTAATTTATATGACTTTAACAATCTTTTTACACTTTACTGATTTCTTTTTTTAATATAAGCTATAAGTATTCATCGTTGACAAATTTATTTGTGTGGATTTTTCATCTTGGCTGACAAACTGTTATGCGCCAATCAGAAATAAATACAAAGTTTGTTCATTTGAATAATAACATTATACTTATCATTTGATCGTATAAAGGCGGTGTAACAATATCCACTACCCCATATCGTCCTGCTGGTATCGTAAGAGAGATCTAACCAAGCAATGGGCAGCAGCATCTTCCTAATAACATAACAGTTAAATTTTTAAGTGATTTTTGACCCAAACTTTATATGTGATAGAGCTACACTGCAGCTATATTATGGTTGCAACAGGAATTGATAGGCTAGACGAGGGAAGGACCATGCTCTCACATAATACCAGCGTAAAATAGCAGCTTAATGCTGCTGTGTTTCGTATGGTGAGAGTAGAGAACTGGGGACCCGTTTAACCGGAATCGAGACATTCTATTTTAGCCCTCAGGGGTGACAACGCACCGGCATTTTGATTCTTAATCAAGGTTAAATGTAGATGTCTATGGGCCACAGCATCCACTTACCATCAGGTGGACTGTATGCTCGTTTGTCACCCTTATTCTATAAAAAAAACTGGGATTAAAACCCGATTTCATATGATCACCAATCATTTTTACCACCACTAGATCATTGAAGCAGAACTCTCAACTCTCAGGCTCTCAATTTCCGAATTATAATACTAAATGAAAATGAATATGCAACATGAGTGCCTCGGCATGTCATAGTTCTAGACGCGCCACACTGGGCCCATAATTATGGTATGATAGGGTAGCATGGGGTCACCTAAGGTGTGTGTTTACTATAAATTGGCTTGGTACTGTGCGGCTTGTCATATAATAAATCATGAAACGCCAGCATAACCCAAACTCAATGTTTTTAATCTTATCATCGAGCAAGATAATTTATATTATTTAGCTGATAATATTTAATATAGTATAATCATAAGTTCATAACTTGATTAAAAAAAATCGAACTATGACTGATTTGCTATCTTAAAAGAGTCTGCCATTAAAAACAATTTAAATGCAGGCAGGTTTAAACTCCCTATAATTTAAGATGTTAAAACAAAAAAGCCATTTACTTACTTTTTTCTTACGTAGTAGAGACATGCTGCAGCTATATTAGTAGTATAGTAGTAACATGAAATCAGTTGGACTGTGTGCTCATTTATCACTCAAATACTATTTAAAAAAAGGATTATTCTATTCCTAAAAATCCACCCTAATTGGGTTGGATAATCGGAATTCACTTTTTGATTGTTGTTCTGTCTTTCCAGCTTTCCACCCCAAGTACAGTTCAACAGAAAATATATTCATACTTTAACATATTATTCGATTGATTTTTAATAACCACAAACTTAAACAAATCAAAAACATATTACATATTGCACTTAAACCAAATTAAACTTCCTTGTTTTAAATAATAATAAGTAATTTATAAATTCTGCAATATGTCCAGGAATGACCAACACTAACTAATTGAATTATTGAGTAGATGTAATTGTATATTCTGTATAAATTTGTCTCTTAATGTACATTTGCAATCATTTTTAATATCTTTGTTACTACAGATGTGTTAGAAAAAACTGGGCGCTTTTTGGAAGCATTTAAAAAACTACTAAATTTGGATGTTTGTCTCTAATTTCATTTGAAATAGTTTAATTCCAGGATTTTAATGAATATGTAGTTTTGTGAGGCACTATAAATGAATTCCAAACAGCCACATAATTTTCGTTCTTGAGCCACATCTTTTCATAGTATTTCATAACTGCCATCATATTATCATCATTATTCAAAAAAGATTTTACAAACAGTCATCATGTTTCTATAAACGACTATACACAGGCGAGGGAGAAAATTGGAAGAAAAATAATATATGAATTCCGATTAATGATATCCACCCCGTCTGGGGTGGATAAACATACGCTTTTCTGAGTATCCACGCTTGTAGATTTCTTAGGGTGGATAAATAAAAAAAACCAAAAAAAACTAAAAAATTATTGTCTAGCATTGGTTACTGTTTGATATATTTAAAAAAACCATGTGGCTTGTATAAAATAATTGAAATAACATAAACAATATTTACTCACTTTAAATGATTCCAAGACATCAATCCATTGTTGTTTCTCCTCAGGATTAGAAGCTCTTAAGTACCATACACAATCATTTACTGACACATCAAATCTGCAGTCATCAAATTCATGGGGCTGAAATTAATAAGAAAAATTTATCACAATTTTCACTATAGTGTTCTTAAAAATGCCCATTTTATCTCAGAAGCCATTAAACTGTGGAATAATTTAACAAAGAACATATAAGAATCAAGCACTGGCTTCTATTAGTTAAAAAACATGTACTGCTACTAGTAAGGCAACATATAAACAACTGCTTTAAAATCAATATCTGACAATGCAGGAGCGCTGACTTATATAACCGGCTTTATTCACTTCATATCCAAAAATTTTACATTCATTTATGTTTCTATGCATGTTGCCAGTTTTTATATACTGGATGACCTTTTTTACCATCTGGAAAAAAATAGGGTGTTACAAGTGAAGGGAGTGGACGCCTATTGCACTGATATTTTACAAAAAATAAAAACAAACATTTTGGTATTAAATAAGTAAATTAATGAAAATCTATCGAAATTCAAATCATATCGACATCGACCCTATAGTGACAAGGTCAAGGATGCCTAATAAATTTATTGTTTTAGTGCCCTTCGTAAAGTAGGGTGGATATGATCTGAATTTTGTTAGATTTTAATTAATTTAACTAACACACAATAAAACTACTTTTATCCAGTTTTTTTATTTTATTACAACATTTTTGTTTTTATTTTTGTAAAATATCAGTGCTATAGGCTTCTACTCTGTTCACATGTTACACCCTATTTTTTACAGAGGGTAAAAAAGGTCATCCAGTGTAATATAAAATTGATTTATTTTTATTTATAACATGTTGGAGTTGCGCCAATATTATCCTGTGACACAAGGAGGGAGCCAGAGAAGTATAGACTGGGGAAAAGGTAACCCTAACCTGCCCACGGAAACTTACAGCTATCTTAATGTATTTTTAAAAATTTCATATTAAAAATCAGTTTATACTAAAGCTACAGCATAACACAGCCAGTTAAATATTTTAAGCACCTCTTCCAACTCTTTCTACCATAAAAATATGAATTTCATACATAGAATTGCAGTTTCTAAAGCTGAAGGTTCTTGTGTAATGGGGTGCGAGGGGTGTGGGGGAGGGGGTTGATGCAGAAATCCCCTACCCTTCCCACTCCCATCCCCGTACGCAAGTAATGGATGTCTATAATTTTACCTTCAGTAATGATTTTTCTGTAAAATCATAACCTCACTTTACACAGGAATATTGAACCAAAGTTACTTCTGCAACAGCTTCGGCGCTGCAGGAAGTGCAGCCCCTTCGCCTTCACATAAAAAATCACAGGCACCACCCATGCTCACCTCCGCAACTTTGGCTTATAGGTCTCCTTCGGCCACCAGCCTCAGCTGCTACAGCTCGCACGTCTGCCTATAATATGCTATGGCGGGTAGGGGCTGCTCTCCCTCCGTGCTTATGGCTTAACAAAAACACTCTTGGGGTAGGGCAGACAAGACTATGTGGTGACTCTACTGGTGGGAGTGCTGATTCAATTTTAGAGCAGATTTGACAATCATATCTATAAAGTTAGGTTACCCTAAAGTCTGCATGATAGTGATAAATGTAACGTAAATTGTTATAATTTTGTTTTCTGAAAAACCTCTAGATGGCTCTCTACTGAGACTCAATTTGTTGTAAATGAGTACCGTTTTGTACATGATGTGCGAGTGCAAACAAAGAATAAATAAATAAAAAATGGGTGCTTCCCATTTTTGCAGTGCTTTATGAGGCTAAGCTTTCCATTGACGTCCGTCAAGTTGGGGGTTGATATTTTTTTTACAGAAAGGTTACATTAATATAAGCACACACGTAAAGTGTCAACATGCGGAAAAACGTACTTTTTGAGAAAAAAAATTATTGAAAATCAATTATTTTTATAATATTTACGTCAATCCTTACCACAGATTACATTGAATTCTCACCATTGAACGATCGTTTTCCGTATGGTTCCATATGACAACTTGTCATACGTTCGGTAGCATTTTATTGTACATATTACGTAAATAATTATATTTTGTACTCATTTAAATAGTTTTCATGCATAAACATATAGTTAACAGTTTATATTTAAATTACAGAATTATTATCATTATGAGCTATTAAAATGTGTAGTGTTTACCGTTTTTTGACGGCTTGTGGGACGTAACGTAAAACTGACGATTTCTAAGAATTAATTAAAGCAATATGTGTATAAAATTGTATATATGTGTATAAAATTGTATAAAACATGTGTATAAAACAGTACCCACCTATTAGGACAGATAACAAATAAAATAGGTTAGGTTCAACTTATGTCAAGGAACCGAATTAATAGACCCCGACTCCACGTGGTACAAGTCTGTCCTACCCCTAGAGTGTCTTTATAGAGCCGGAGGCGCGTAGGGAGAGCAGCCTCCGCCTGCTGTAACAAATCGTAGGCATCGGACGAGCCGGAGTGGCTGAGGCTGGTCGCCGAAGGCGACCAACAAGCGGAAGCTGGGGGGGCGAGGCTGGATGCTTGCGATTTATTACGCAAAGGCATAGAGGCTGCTCTTCCCGCAGCGCCAGAGACATTGCAGTCTCAAAATAGGTACGGAAATCCCTCTGAATGAGTCCCTATATTTATTTTTGGTGAAGAGGTTTCCCCCTTCCTTAGGGGGTACCCCCTCCCCCCCCCCAGGAGGTCCCCATGGTTTTTTACACTTAATATTTATTCATAAAAAATAAAATTTCCTCATAATTAAAATTGAAAAAACTCAAAAAGGGGGGGAGGCTCCGCAACTTTTCCTTTTAAGGGGGAGTAGTACACCAATTCGACGGACGTCAATGGAAAGTCGTACCGGTTACACTCTTATATAAATACTATTAGATATGAAGAACATAGAAAACTACTGCTTCTTAAAGGCAATAAATCCAAAACGTTTTTTTCTAATGCATTTGATAATTAAATATAAGGAAGATGCCTACAAGGACAAATTGATTGTTTGAAGCAGAACCAAATAACTTTTGGTATTATTGCTTTTATTTACCTTTACTTTAGCTTTCTTCAAACATAATGCACCACGACACCCAAGATTACTCTCCAATTCACTTTTATAATATGATAAAGTGGAATCCTTCAAAACGATAAATCTATCTTGCCAACCATGAATGTAATTCGTCCATTTACTAAGGTAACCACGAAGTTCCGCAGTACCGCCTTCATCTATATCTGAATTATCACTCACTGTTACATTTTCATCAATCATTTTAAATCTCTGTACCAAATCAAAATTCTAACAAAACAAAATATATTTTTTATAAACACAATTTCGTTACTTCGACTAATATTGTGACAGACTGACAGATCGCTTAAACTATAGACAAATAGAGATATAATATCTATACTTCTATATTTGCCGTGATACGTTGTTCATAAGTCATTTATATATTCAGTAATCTATGGATAAAACGTAGTATTTTATGTTAACTTATTTGTGGTAGTAATGAAGTCGTTTGCTACGGCCCGTAGATAGAAACCTATAGACAAAATGACGCCTTCTTTCGCATTCGCACACGAAAAAGATAGATTTATGCATACGTCTTACATAGAAATGAGACAGAGTGGTGTGATTGTTTGTCCCTTTCTCCGTGCCGGTTTTTTTGTTGAGCTTGTACGAACTGTCAAAGTTGTTGAGCACTTTGCTTTGATGAACAACTTTGACAGTTCGTAGCGATCTAAGGAGTTTACAAGTTGGTTTAAGTGAGAAAAAAAAAGTGTTTTGTGAGCTTAAGATTGGTGAATCTTGTTCAGTTCAGTTCTTATAACAATTAAAATTTTTATCTAAATATGTTTAAAAGTCATAAAGACTATAGTATAACCTAAAACTACGTTATCGTCTTTTCTCACTCGAGGCCATGCTAATTATTAGTCTATAGGTTTCTCTGTCTACGCTACGGCCATACTACCGTGATGTGCCAATAATTATTGCCATAACTTCAACAACGCCTAAGTGTAACCCCGATTTATGGCCATAATTTTACAATGCCAACCAATATTGCAAATGGCGGTAGACAATAATTCCGGCGGCGGTCTTATTTCGCACATCAAAGAAGTTTGTTTGTTCGCGTTTGTTCAGTGTGAAACCACAAATTATAAAGTATGTACAGGATGTGCAACACGAGCTTAACGGAGACACACGTATCGACCGACATGGAGATGGACGATGTCTCTTTGGGATAACCGACAGAAAGCCCATAAAAATTGCGATGTACAAAATGATGCTTGGCGTCGGATCAAACAAAATTTGTCTATTTCCAAATACAATAGCTGATTTGAAGAAGAAAAAAAGAATTCTTGATGAAGAATTACCTATACAATATGCTTCTTTATTTTGCACAATGTACACGGTATCACTTATTACACAATGTCACTAACACACTTCACTTTACAGGGTACACATCTAACGGTTTCTACTTCGTTTTGTTTATTTCCTGATTTATTTGGTTTATATTGTTCTATTGATTTTATGTCCTGTATGATATTGTGATTATTTGTGTTGTCCTTGTTGTCTTTTGTCCTGTTTTGATCTATTTGTCCTTTCAATATATTACTTTCTATGTCCTGTATTTTGTTCACTATTTCTTGATTATTACTGTTCCATTTTTGAAGCACAAATCCACACTTTCCTAATAAGTCTGTGATTTGACAGTGTATTTCCAGGCCTTCTTCTACGTCGTTACAACCGGTCATCAAGTCGTCCATGTAGAAGCAGTTGAGAACCTCATCTGCAGCAACTGTATAATTGTGGCCTTCATCGAAGGCTACTTGACGAAGTGTTCTGACTGCTTGGTATGGCGCTGATGCCGTACCAAAGGTTAACAGTCACTGGTTCGTAGTTCTCAATTGCGGTTTTAGAACTGTCTCGCCATAAAACACGCTGAAACATTGCATCTTCATCAGAAATCCTGACCTGGCGGTACATTTTAACAATGTCTGCTACCACCATCAACGTGTCATTGAGTGAGACTCCATTGTTGTTCTTCTCGGAGGCGTTGAACACGACACGTACCTTCGAGGTAGTTTTGTCCTCCCGGATTACAGCATGATGAGGTAGGTATACCGCTGCATCTCTATTCTTGTCCCTTTATCCATCTTCCTCATATGTCCTAGTTGTAAATACTCTTCTATTACCTGCTTGTATCTTTCCTTTAAATCGACATCTCTTCCTAACCTTTTTTCTAAAGATTTAATATGAGATTAGTTAGAGGTAGTTCCTTGGATCGGGATTTTTTTCAGGTTGAGCAGCTGAACTACGGCCTCTGTAACAAAACATGCCTGCGAACCCTGATTGAGCAAGGCTCGGACCATCTGAAAGTCACCAGAGCGTGACTCGGCTTTTATTAGCGCTGTGGCTAATAAAACCTGTCGGGGCTTTAGAGTATTACCTATTGACAGACATGAAACAATCGGACCAGCATTAGGTGAACTCACACTGTCGACAGTCGATGCCGTCGAAGGTTGATCCCTTTTGTTCGACTTCTGGTTAATAATATGTAGTAGCGAATGATGGCGCCTTTGACAAACCTTACATGTAGTGGACTTTCTACTTTCCGAAATCATGTGATTGCCGCCTAAACAGTTGAAACATATTTTATGTTTTACCACAATATCACGACGTGCTTCAACCGTCTGTTTTGAGAACTTCTTACAGAAACACAATTTGTATCCTTCTGAGCAAAACTCACATCGCATTGATGAACTCGTAGCCAACATTGCCTTCGGAGAGTGAGCAATTGAGGGTTTATTAATGTTGTTGACCTGGTAAACTGGTACCCTTCTAGGATCTAAACATTCTAACGCACGAAACCGATTTTCTATAAAAGACTTAAATTGGTTGAAAGTTGGTAAGTCATTGCTGGAGTCATTGTTGCGAACACTAAGCTCCCATCGCTTACGCGTTTCGTTATCTAATTTAAATGAAACTATGTGAATTATAATAACATCCCATGTGCTCACGTTAATACCCAAATTGTTCAACGCATTAAGACAGTCACAAGTAGTATCAAGTTACTCCTTCAGAGCTGTAGATGATTCCACCTGCATACGTTTTTGATTAAACAACCGTTTAAGAATACAATTTGTTAAATATTTCTTATTGTTATAACGCTTCTGTAATTGATTCCAGCACTGAATATAATTGGCATCAGTTACAGGTATGTGGCGAATCAATTGTTCTGCTTCACTGGAACGGTGGCTCTTTAGGTAATGAAGCCTTTGTACATTATGCAAAGATTCATTATTGTGTACTAATGAGGTAAAGAGATCGTGGAATGTCGTCCATTCATCATATTTTCCTGAGAATGTTGGAAAGGATATTTTGGGCAACTTTACGAAAGAACTACTTGATTTATTAATAGTACTAGATGTATTGGCTTGATTTAAAGAATCTTTAGCTAACCGAATTGTGTTGAGGGTAGTTTTCATTAAGCTTTTGTAAACAATATAAGTGTCCTCTGTAGCATCATAAATATCAATAACCCTTTGTGATATATCTTCTGCTTTGAAACGTTGGTATAACTTAGTATTATTTTATTTAAACAATTTCTATATACTCTATGCTTAACCGGGATTAACTAATTTTAAAAAATGTGGTAAAGATACCACATTTTTTAATATTAGTTAATCCCTTTGTTATAACATTTTGTTGATCTCTTAAACACACAATAAAAAAATCAATCTCAAGTTATTATGAACTTGAGTGACTGTTATTATTGACTGTCCGCTGGGTTCAGCTGTCATCAAAATATCCCAAAAACTTTGCAATGTGACATCAGTATATTGTGATGAAAAAATGTCTATTAAAACGAATATCCCGAATTAAATGAAAACATGGCTTAAAAAAAGGCAACCAAGAATCTTAATTTAAAAAAAGAGGATCAATGAAAACTTTTGGAGTATGTTCCAAACAAAATAGAACCCAGTGTACTCGGCTGTCCAATTTCAAAACCTAGTAAGGGACACTTTTTACAAAAATCGTTTTATTGCATATTCTTCCTAACCTAGTAAGTTCTTACCCAATACAAAAACACCAGCGTTGAAAACGCACAAAAAAGCTGATATTTTAAAGCATCGATACCTAGTAAGTGTACCATTTACCGCCTCGTGACCACATAAAAACCTAGCAAGTTACTTTAACCATTTCAAAACCTAGTAAGTGTCTGAGACTTGCTAGGTTTTAAAATGGTTAAAGTGACTTACTAGGTTTTTGAAATCAAGTCCAAACGTGAAGAAAGAGAGGGATAGTGCACGTTGTTCACAGCATGTCACAACACGTGAGCGCAAGCATTCGCTTCTCAATTCAGTTATCGGCGTCGGCGGGTGAACACAGTAACTTGATTTGTTCTTCATAAAAATGAATCGCCAAATGCAATTTTACCGTTCAAAAAGATTGTGGCTGCCGCTAAAAATAACAATATAAACTACGATTCAGAGACGGAAAAACAGTAAGTTCATTATATCTAAACTATTTCTTTTGCCTTATAGATACACGTGGTGCACTGAAATACCTATATAAAGTAATGATGCTAACTAACATTAATATTTTTCAACCTATTAGTATGCACGTGATTATTATTTTGTTTTGGTTTGACGAGGCATGTTTAGTTTTAAGTTTACCAAGAGTTGTTGTTTTGGCCTGAAAATGGAATTATTGATGTGTGCGTTATTTTAAAATTAGTTGCGGTTTCTTTTTGTCGTGTGTTGCATTTTTCTTTGCTTTGCTTCAGTTTGCTAATAACGGCTCAGTTGAATTCAAAGCACTATCCACTTCATCTTCGCAAAATAACACTGCTTTAAAACCTAACACCTTAAGTGTAATTGACCCTGAAGAATTAATTACATTTAGCGATTTGGACGATTTAGTTGAAGATCCTGATTTTGAGCTGTCTGAAAGATACTTCTTCTGATACTGATTATACATTCCGGGATTTCTTGGGTTCTTGTATATCTCAATCTGCCACCGAATCTCTGCATCAAAATAGACAACCTGAAATACACTTCGTAGCTGCATATCCCGGTCCAGTTTTTACTTATAATGAACATGATAATTTATCAAACATCAGTACAACACAAAATACCAATCCGCAATATGTAAATGCCACTGAATCAAATGTTACTAAAACAAATAAAAATAAAATAAAGCATCCGATGATCGTAAATAGTTGTGATGGCAAATGCAAGAGGCAATGTACAAAGTTTTCAGTTGAAAGTCGGAAAGAGATTTGGGATAAATATTGGGAACGAAATTTTGTATCAAGGCATAATTTTCTCAATAAGTGCATAACTATACGTTCTATAAAGCGACGTAAGATTCGTTTTCTAAAAACGAAAGTCGTTATTTTTCTTTGCCAAATAAAGACAACGAGTTGATTCCCGTGTGCCGTAACTTTTTTTTGGCAACTCTTGGATATAAAACTGATGGCGTGATGACGTAAATTAGTAAAACTATAAAGAAAGAATCAAAATAGGGGTGGCAATCGAAGAAAAGTTGATGCAAGCATAATAACTGAGCATATCATGAGTTTTCAGCCCACTGTCAGTCATTATCGCTACTAAATATTTGCCGAGACACTTAACATTACAGCAAATGTACAAAGACTTCAAGCAGAAAAATCCAAATTTTAAATGTGGGGTTGAATTATACAGGCAAAATATTAAAAAAAAACTAAAAATATCATTTCATATGCCTAAAGGTGATAGCTGTGTAGAATGCTCAATGTATGAACAAGAACTGAAGAATTACAGCGATGTTAATTCGATGCCTGAAAAAATAAGAACGAAATATGAAAATCATAAGTTCAAAGCTGACTCTGCTTTACAAAGATACAGAGTAGATGAATCAAGCAAAAATTCAAATAGAGTTAAATATTTACCTATCAATGGATTTACAAAAGGTGATTAATTTACCGGAGATGCCTGAAATTAAAGATGCTGTTAGCGACGACAAAGTGAATTCGAACATTTAATCTTAATTATTCCTTATCAGTGATTTAAAACTAAGTGATAGTATTTAATCTTAATTGTTTCCTATTCGTAAAATAAAGCTAAGTGTAAATACTGATTAGTGCTGAAAACAGGGAAGTAAATTAAACACTTCTATTCTTATCTTAGGGTAACTTATATGAATCTATTTAATATTATTTAGGTCTGATTAGAACATTAGACGCAAGTATAAGCTTATTTTCTAGTAAGATTTCTTTTATCATAACTTTAAGAGCTATTAACATATAGGTGATTAATATAATTCTTTTTCCTTTAAAGTAATTCAAAAGAAACATTAATATGTCAATTAATCACTATATAATGTCATTTCATTATGAGAAAGATTTAAATTTTATGAAAAAATATTGTATAGATTCTTAAGCATTATTCCTGAAAAAGTGTTGTACATTCCTACCTCTTGGCGGCGCTACTTGTATGTTCGGCAAAAATACTATCCTACTTCCGGAGTAGGATAGTATTTTTAAACCTTTTGCTAAACCGTGAAGCGACCTCGAAGCTATTTTTATTTTTTATAAGTGTAAAATAAAGGTTTATTGAATAATTTAGGTTTAGAATAATAGAAATAAGTTGTATCTATCGTTAGGAATAAATATAAATGTTGTAAGGTGTGTTTTACCACGTTTATTAAGGAAATTGTAAATCTCTCTTAGAAAGGGTTATTCTGCGCTCTGATTGGTCAATAGATTCACTAATGCCGTGTGCGATTTTTTCTTAATTATGATTGGTTACAGCCGCTTATAAAAAAGGGGCGTTTTTTCGTGGTAAAATATTCTAAATCCGGCAATGTAATAATAAGGAATCAAGAAATAAAATAAGAAACTCTCAAGAAGTGTTATTTATTGCTCATCTAACTGCTACTGTATGCTCTCCAGTTAACATCCCGCCAGCAAACCCGCTCTATTTTATCAACGCTCCCTTATACGAGCAATTACAGATGCTTTTTTTATGAGCCGTTTGGTTACATTTAATTTAACATTTGCTCCAATTGAAAAGAAGTCAAGCGATTTTGCCACATGTGTCCTTTGGCATGAAGCTCAAGCTGGACGAGAGGCGAGTGAATTATGATCGCCATATATGCTTTCATACAGGCTAATAGGGACATGGAGCACTTGTATATATGGGCTGATAATTGTACAGCCCAAAACAAAAATTGGACCCTTTATACTGCAATGATTATGATAGTCAATAACTCCTTGAATAATCTTAAATCAGTAACTATTAGCTATTTAACCAAAGGCCATACTCACATGTCCGCGGATGCTGTTCATGACAATATCGAAATGAAAATGAGGAGGCAAAGAAATATATATGATTTCCAGGATCTTAAAGACACAGTGATGCAATCAAGGAGAAATATAAAACCTATTGAAATCAATTATAGATATGAGTGGCCGAAAAAGAAGAGAGCGGCCGGTCTTAATGAACCGCTAAAGCAATTTAATTTGAACTCTGTTGTGCAAGTTGAATTTAGCACTGGTTCAAGAAACCTTTTTTATAAGACAAGGTATTACTTATTTATTATAATATAATATTTATTTTAAGTCAGATTAGTTTGACTTTTTTGGCATGAACTTTAACTTTTTTTTTCAGATTTAATGAACCCCTCCAGGAATTGGACTTTCAGGTGAAAAAATTTAATTGCACTGAGCTCCCTAAAAGTCTTGACACCCCAAGAGGCATTAAACAAAATAAAAAAAGAAGAAATTATTAATAAATTGGTATGTTTGATGCCGGAATCAAGAAAATCATTTTGGAATAATTTACCCGTCAATGACTCGTCTGCCGATTTGACAAATGATGGACAAATGTCTGCAGTTGAATAGCTCTTTTTTTTTAAATTAATAAACTTTTCTATTCAATTAATATGCTTTTAATTACAAGGCTTTAGATTTACTAGAATTTAATCAATGAGATATACTAAGTACCTGTTCCGTAAAACCATAACAAAACCTAGCAAGTGCTCTTACTATGTTATGAAACTGGTTGTTACATGAACCTAACCATTTCATGTCAATTATCAAAGTTAGTAAGGGCTTTAAATTCTGTAATATACACATATATTAAAATATTGATAGTACTATATGTGCATTATTTAGTATTTTATACAAACAACAGCAAATTGTTTACTTAACATAAATACTTTTCAAAAGCTAACCTATTTTTCGTTTAAGTGCTTTCCTGTAAAATTTAGTTTTAAGCCTAAGCCCTTGCTAGGTTTTGAAATGGGACAGCCGCACCAACTTTATAATTTGTGAGCCGCACTGTCCAATGCGAATGACGTCATAGTCATACATTTCGCCATATTGGAAACGTGTTGGCGATTATTTTGTCATTTTGTGCTCCAAAAATAATTATATCCTGTTTCAATTAATTTGTGAAGAATAGAGATACTAGAAATTATACTGTAATTTTTTGTTTTTGAATAAATAAAAACAAATTCTGACATGCTTCATTTAGCTTACACACAATTAAAAATTGTTTTACTATGTCGGGATATCCGCACAAATGACGGCGGCACGCCAGTAGGGCGTCAATTAATGACGTCATTTGACGCCACCAGTATACTAGAAACAACATACCCTTGAAAAACAGTGTCAATTGTCAAATGTCATTGTCAAACTAAATTTTTATTGATAAAGTGATAAAGTAATTTGTTGTAATTTTATAATGTGTAGGCACTTACACTTAGTGTTCATCAATTAAATCATAAACCTAGACGTCGTAATCGTCGTAAGATCGTAAGTGTACCCTTGGTTTTAGACACACATAAACTCCTTGGTTCACTTTAATTCGTCATAAATACACAAAACATAATTTGCACAGTTTTATATTCTTTACAGATTTCATCTACCAAGTTCCTAATTGTTACTACATAATATAAACAAATACTTCACATCGTTGTTACTTTTAAAATAACCTTGAGAAATGGATATTATAATAAGAGTCAATAACCAATCTGTAGGAAGAGACAAATTAGCCAGGTTAGTAGAAAATTGCCATGGGCTACTGCAAAAATCTTTTCTTCATGATATGTCTTTAACTTTTTGCTATAATGTTTGCGTTATAACATGGTGCGGATGACAGCTTACAGTTTGGTCTGTCTAAGGATTGAACAGTGTTAAATCAATTTAAAAACAGTGATTAACATAACACAAAGCAAAGCAAAATTAGCGATTAGCTATCGATATAAAAATTAAAACCGATACATATATTTATTTATAAAATACAATGCATGTAAAATTAAGTTAAAGTTTTATACAAATTATGACATAATAGCTGATTCCGGGACTTCGTCCGTGTGGTATTTATTACGATTGAATTTCTTATGTTTTAATTCTTATGTGCAGAATCCTAATCCTTTTTCTAAAATAAAAGTAGACTGTGTTACTCCTTATAACATTAGCTATCTGCCAGTGCCAGCTATAAGCTGGAACAAACAGAGAGACAGGCAAACATTTTAAAAATTGTTTTTGTCTTTTTGTTATAAATACCATATATTCATTCATATGCATTTAGTAAAAGGCTGTTATTTTGATATTACAAACAGACACTTCAATGTATTATAATAATAATAATAATTATGTTTATTTCTCCTCATAAATACTGACCATACATAATATAATCTTATATCTATTAAAATATAGGTATGTTCATACTCATAGCCTATAATCTGTGAAGAGCTGGTGTTTGAGATAGGCAATAAAATGCCTGTATTACAAATCACCAGGTCTCCACCCCATGACATATAAATAAGAGCATTATATGTAATTGAGTATTACGGATATTGTAGAGCTTAGGATGATATCATATTGTATGTATTATACTACATATTAATTTTAAAATAAAAAATTTAAACAAATAAAATGGCTACCAGCATCTGTAATTTTCAGTATGTAGTTGACTGCAATGGCAACTTTTCAAGGTACAAGTTATGGAGTGTAGAAGTAAGGAGTACCAACTCCCATAGTAGAATAGTTGAAAAAGTGGCCATCTGTAAGCAGTAAATAACAGTTCAAAAACTCTCCACAACAGCGCTGGAGTAGCTACTGGGATGAGTTGAACAGTTGTCGACGGTTTAAGTGTGCTGCTAAACTGCTCAGTAGCTCTAAAATTTAAAATAACTTTATTTAGTAAATATAACCTCGAAAAAGTCATCTATCCCACTAACATTTTTGGTGCGTTCTTTATAATTTAGGTAGTTATTGTGGCACCATCCTTATTTAACAGTTTTCTATGGACACTTTTTAATACATAGTCTGTACTCCTTACTTCTACACACCATAGTACAAGTATTTTTGCTATATGTGTATTAGTGTTGCCAGGTCCAATGGGCTAAATAGCAGGACAGAAGGTAAAAATAATTGAAAATGTGGTTTACAAAAATAATGTAATAAAATTAAAAAATAGGTTTTTTGTAGCCATTTTGGCTGCATTGAGTTATGATAGTCTTTTTGACACATTGCACAATTTGCTTTATAATTATTTCTTCTGCCTGATCTGACCAACAAATAATTTATCGTCCATGCATCGAAAGTACTGCATATTCGTCTGTAAATTAGAATTTATTGGATGATAAATACCAATTCCAATATTTTCAATTTATTTCAAAACTGATTTTTGATAGTCTCTAGTTGTTCCTTATAGCATGGCATAGTTTATCATGGCACACCACTATCGTAAGTGGGCGGTACCCAACCATAAAGTACAACAATATCTGTTTGACAATTTTTCTAAAAATATATGGAACTTCATAGGCGTGAGCAGTCATTTGCGCCATGCTACAACGCAAAGTCATTAGCATTTTTGGTATGTAATATATTAGCTTTAGTATTGAATGAACATAATATTATTGATACAATATTGTCATATAGTGATGAAAAAATCCATGAATCTTATAGTAGGAGTAAATATTTCCTTTAAATTATAACATACTGGGATTGTGGTTATAATAAGTAAAAAAAATATTATGCCAGCATTGTAAATATTGAAATTTTTTGTTTAAATTTGCTTAATCTTACCTACATAATAATTAAGTTTCTTAATGTTACATGTAAGTGATAATCTGGTTAATTTATGTATCCTTTCTGTTGCACAATTCAAAAACACAGTGAGTAGCATAAATTATTTTGAGTAAATTGTGTTTAAAGATTGACAATTGTTTATCACAGTTTTTCTTGTAATTTTTGGTATGCTTGTAGAAACTTTGTAGATGAGTTTATGTATTATTTTAAATAAAAGATAACCAAATATGTGTTTTCACCTAGGAATTAAATATTCCTAAGTGAAAACTATTGTAATAAACAACCCATACACAATAATAATCATAATTTATTTCTGCAAAATACTTCTCATATCTATGTAATCTCTTATTTTGCCCCACTATTGATTATGTCGATGTGTGCCCTAAGGTTGACTGGCAGTGAATGTTTTCAACCTTAAGTCTGCCTTTTGTTCCTATTGAGTAAATAAATAAAAGCACTTTTTATTCAGAGTACAAATCAGCCACATGTGTTATGCTGTTACATATGAAAGATGTGGGATGCACTTGTATATTTATTAATGTCGTAATTATGGCACAACAGTATCAACTTTACTCTTTATACCTATCATTTGTACTTTGCAAATAGCATTAAACACATTTTTGTTTACCTTTTCTTAGTATATTTCTATTCACTCAATAAATTCTTAAAGACCCCAAATCTTTCTCTGCTTAGTATTTTATTTATAATTGACTGTAGTCTAAAAAGATGTACTTATACTATCTAGTCCTTCCACAAAATTATAAATTTTAACCTCGACTTTCCCGAAATTAAATGTCATAAAACAAACCCACTTTAAACAACATTCCCAACCACTAGTATGAAACTTACTTGTAGTTGCACTAATTAACCGCATCTGTTACATTTTGTGCTTCAGTGACAGTGAGGATGCTTTGTAGGTTAGCTTAGTTGTCCATGTAGTGGTTCTTACGAGGGCGCTTCAAAAAGTTCGCAGAATGGAGGGGTTAGAGAGGGGAGAATAGACTTTTTTTAGCTATCACTACTTGGAGACTCAATACAACTATAAATACCAAGTTTCAGCTAAATTGGTTCATTATCCTTTGAGATATCACAGGCTAAACAAGTCAATCGGTCAGTGAACTCTAACTATGGAGAAAATTAAGTTTCGTGCCGTGTTTTAGTTCCTCACTAAGCAAGGAAAAATCCCACATATCATTACGGAAAAGATATCATCTGTTTACGGGAACTCTTGCCATGAAAAAAGAATAATTTATTTTTACTCAATTCAAGACGATCAGCACTCAGGCCGATTAATTGAGGCAACTTCCTCAGACATGTCAATACAGTCAAAAAAATTTCTAATGAAGATGCTCATCTGAAGAAAAAACAAATCGCAGAAGTGACTGCTGTAACATCTAAGAGCATTTTAAATATTCTCCATGATCATCTTGGCATGTCTAAGGTCAGTGCAAGTTAGGTGCCAAGAATGCTCTCACACCGCTTCAGAAACACCATGGCTCAAGTGTTCGTGTGAGTTTGGACCTGTGTAGTGAGAACAGGGACAAAATTATGTACTGAATTTTAACAGTTGAGGGTTCATTGCTATGAACCTGAGTCAAAGCATGAGTCCATGCAATGGCATAAAAATGAAAGCAGTACCGCCTAAGAAGTTCAAAGTGTCACAATTGGCTGGAAAGACTACGGATTCAGTTTGTTGAGGTTCGGAGGGTATTTTATTGATTGATAATAAAGATAAAGGTGTCAATATCACGGTACAGTATTATGCTATGCTATTAGAAAAGTTAAAAGATGCGTTTAAAGAAAATAAATTTTTTTTGCACGACAACACACCTATTCACAAAAGTCATCCTGTGATAGCTTCCTTATACAAGTGTGGCTTCAAAACTTTAAAGCCCCCTCCCTATATTCCAAATTTGGCCTCTTTGGATTATTATTTGTTCCCAAATATGAAAAAAGAGCCTCAAGAATTTTTTTTTACAGATGACAAGGAAGTCAAGCCGGCAATTTCTGCCTATTTTGGGGGCCTTGATGAAACTTTTTTCGAAGGTATAAATAAGTTATTTGAACGGTCTGAGACATGTATTGGGTTAAAAGAGAATATTTCAAAAAGGAAAAATGATTTCATGTTTAATTTCATCCCCATTCCTTTTCATTCCGCGAACTTTTTGACCTACCCTGGTATTTATAGCAGCTGTTGGTCATCTGGATAGGTTTCAGAAAAATTTTCAGAATTTTTATTTTTTTTAAATATTATGCTCGACAAGGTGATAAAGCAGCTCCGAATATTAAAGATGTCATCCTACATTTTTCTGATTGCCCCGCCTGTTGTTTTTCAAATAAAAAGATGTCCGTCTCTTCCTTTCTTACTTTGACCTGCATGTTTTTCTTTGATGTTTTTGCTCACAATATAAAGATTATCCCTGAATCTCATTATAACACCAAATAGCAGATCTGCTTGAAAAATATGCTATACTTAGAATATATATGATATAGCATGTCATTTTAACATACATCTGCTGAGCTTGCTGATGCATTATATACAAATCTCAGAGGCATATGGGGCTTCGCAGGATTGATGACCTAAGAATGAGGTAGATGCCAGAATGTTCCTTCATTTGGTGGTATAGGCACACACTGTATCACGATTCAAAGTTATTCTCCATACTCCCCTTATACTTCATTTCAGATCTTCATCTTTGCTTACATTAGTGTTTCTCTGTTTCTTTGAAATTGTTTGGTATAAGGATATTCCTATCTTTCCCGAGTCTTATCCTGTTTTATATGTCCCATCAGCTTATCTTTTGCTAACGTGACAGCCATAATGAGAGAGTTTTGACATCTGTGAGGTAACTATTGTGGGTTGGTGTATGAAGAGTTGTCTAGAACAATTAAAATTGGGTGAGGCACATTATTAGACGATTTTCTGTTGAATTGTAACCATTTAACAGATAAAATAGTTA